TAATAAAAGATGCCGTGACTGAGCCCTTCCCAGTGTCATTACCAGCCACTACAATCGTGCCTACAGCAGCCCCTGGGGTCCCCAGCACCGCTGATTAGCTGCTGTGTGGAAGCTTGTTCTTGACTCCTGTTAATTGTGAGGGTCAATTCCTTATTACTGCTGTGTAGCACCTCCTTGCCCGGTGTGTGGGGTGGTGGGAGATGGTTGTCTACCCGTGCTTGCACTTGTGGGTGGGTGGAGGGCAGTGGCTTGTCGAGGAGTCCTTTGGAGACATCGCCAGCTCCTGGAGTGTTTGGAGTTGGTGCTGCTACTCTGCAGTTCAGAATCACAAGCTCTCATGAAATTCCTGTTGCGCCTGCATTGAGTGGGGACGTGCCAATGGGGGACAGATGCATCGCCATCCCCACTGCATAGCCACCAGGGCTGTCACCTCTACCATGATTCTGCAGGAGGGTCAGACACTGCCCAGGAGGGTTCTGAGTACAGCAGAGAATGGCATTAATACCCTGTGTGTGTTTGGCAGGCTCATCCGCAGGGAACACTCAGACCCCATCGTGGAAGAGCTGAATCCAGGGGATGCACTGGAGCCTGATGGACGGGGCACGGGTGGGTCCCCTTGGCTCTGCTGGTGGAGGTCCATGTGCCACAGCTCTGCCCGGCACCTTCTATGACTGGGGATGCTGCATGGCTGGCTGAGTCATCTGCCTGCTCCCCACCAGCAGGCTGGAGCTCCCATCACCCAGGAATGGCCCCATGCTTTCTCCTTCCACCCATACCCAACTAACAGTGCCATCTCTAGTTCCCCTGGGATTTGCTCTTGGGGGGCTCCTTCCTGGGTACCCACTGTTCAAAGTCACCCTCTGTATTCGAGAGAGGGTGAGGCAGTTTCCTGTATCCCACAACCCTCCAGGCATTACCTGTCCCCTCCACTGCCCAGGATGCTGACACACCTGACTGCAGGATGTCACCCACACAGAGACACTTACTCCTACATTGGAGTCACTCTATCTTCCCTATTGCTCCTGCATGGCCAGGAATGCTGCTGTTGCCTGTGGAAGGCCGCACCAGCAGCAGGGTGTAGCGGTGGGAGATGTGGGGCCTGGCCCTAGGCATGACATGATCCTGTCCTTGCAGGAGGTGCAGTGACAGATTTTGATGGCGATGGGATGCTGGACCTCATCCTATCCCATGGTGAGTCCATGGCACAGCCGATCTCCATTTTCAAGGGCACTCAGGTGAGTCAAGCAGGTGGTCCTTGCGTTGTCCCCATCCCTTTTGTTGCTCCCAGCTCAGTCTCCTTGCTCCCTCCTCCCTTGCAGGGCAGAAGCAACAACTGGTTGCGAGTCATTCCCCGCACCCGCTTCGGGGCCTTTGCGCGGGGGGCCAAAGTGGTGCTGTTCACACGACGCAGCGGGGCCCACCTGCGCATCATCGATGGCGGTTCGGGGTATCTCTGCGAGATGGAGCCTGTGGCACACTTTGGACTGGGTGAGACAGAGGGTCAAGGGGCTGCCTTCACCCCCAGCCTTCCCTGGCACTTCCCTGGGCAGGGTCCATGTCTGCTGCTCTGTTGTCCTGCAGCACAATAATCATCCATGCCTGTCACCCTGGGTATGGTGGGCTCTGTGGGAGACTGAGCAGGGTGCCCAGCTACTGCAGCTCTGCTGCAAGGGGCAGCTGCCCCCTTCCCCACCCTTTGTCTGCTACTTTGCTCAGACACTAGGGCTTTCCCTGTGTTTTAGCCCTCCTCTGGCTCAGTATGGCCAGCAGCCAAGCCCACAGGAGTGTATTTCTGGCCCTTGGCAGATCATCCCATTGTCCTCACCTACACCCCTTGGACTACATCCGTGTACATGGGCTGTCAGCATGAGCACCTGGGGCCAGGCTTGGGGAGCAAGGAGCATTTGGCCCTCCCATCCCTACCACCCCACTGGCCTCCTTTCAGCCCCTGCCCACCCTGGAGACCCCCCCTTTGATGGGCTGCCCGCCTGCAGGGCATGATGAAGCCAGCAGCCTGGAGGTGACCTGGCCAGATGGCCGTGTGGTGTCACGAGCTGTGGCCAGCAGTGAGACCAACTCTGTCCTGGAGGTCCCCTACCCCCTGGATGTAGAGGAGCCACTCATACCTGCCCCGCTGGAGGTGAGGGCTGGGTGTGGGTGCAAGGCGGGAGACTTTGGGGACAGGAATGAGAGGTTGGGCTCTGCTGGTTCTGTGGCTGTCCAGGGCTGATTCCTCCCCATCCTGGCGGTCTCTGCTTCTCCCCAAATGCAGTGCGGGCAGGGATTCTCCCAGCACGAGAATGGACGCTGTGTAGGTGAGTGGCTGCTGGGGGCACAGGTGCGCCTGCACCCGGGATGCTGCAGCATGGCCCCAGGGGGGACACAGGGACATCATTCTGTGGCTGCCTGCCACATGGCTCAGTGCCAGGTACAGCTGTCTGCTTGGCACATAGCCTGGGGACAGGGCAGCAGCACGGCTCCAGAGGGGGACCGTGGTGTCACAGGGAGCAGCGAGAGCGCTGTGCTGTGGCGGGAGGCATGGCTGGCATGTGGCAGGCATTGTACTGGAGCTACGAGCAATGAAGGGGTGTCAGGGATGCAGCAGGGTGGCTGTGGCCATGCTGTGAACCTCCTGGGTGGTAGACATGGCTTATGCATGGCTACCACTGGGGTGATCATCCAGCATGTACAGGGGGAACTGGAGGGGCCATGGCTGGGAGTCCCAAGCTCTTTGCCCAGCCATCTAATGCTGAGGACTCTCTTGCAGACACAAATGAGTGCACTGAGTTCCCCTTTGTCTGTCCCCGGGACAAGCCCATCTGCATCAACACCTATGGCGGGTACCGCTGTCGCAGCAACAAGCGCTGCAGCCGGGGTTTTGAGCCCAACGAGGATGGCACAGCTTGTGTGGGTGAGTGATGGCTGGGACACCCTGACCCCATGCCAGCTGGCAGCAGCCCCAAAGCACCACCTTGGGATGGTGCTGCACCCCTGATAAAAGCCTGGCCACATTCTGCAACTTGTTAGGTGGCTGTCCAGCCACCTCCACCCTGGCTGTGTCTGTTCATCCTGTGCCTCGCACTGAGTCACCACTGACTCCCCTTCTCTTTCTCTTTGTTTTTCTCTCTTGCTCCTTCTCTGTGCAGCTCAAGTGGCCTTTTTTGGGGGATACCCCTCTACTGGGAGCTGGCCCAGGCTCCCCCACAGTGCCCTCCTCCCTCTAGTTCTCGGACTCTACCTTTGCCTCTATGCACTTTAATCCCTGCCTGTAACATGCCAGAGCAGCCTTGGTGGAAGGACCAGCTGGCTTCTGCCTGTCTCTCTTTCTCTCTTTTTCTCCATGTCCAACTGCCCTCGAAGCGCTGGCTGTGACCTATCGGGGTGACCTGCAGTGGGACAGGCACGGACCTGGCTGTCCCATGCACCGTCGCTGGGAAAGCAGCCCTGGGGCAATGCAGCAGAGCCCCTTCCCCAGCATCCCACTGCCCCAGTGCTGCTCCTGCCACGCTGGCACCTCCCAGGTGGTCGCTTGCTCCGTCGCCTCAATACTGTACCATGTGCCTGCTGGTTTGGCCTGCGACGTGTGTGCTTTGCCTGCCCCCTCCTCGGCGGTGGGGACCACCTCCCCAGCCCTGGCAGAGGAGGGTCTCCCCAGTCCTGCAGGGGCAGGACCCTCCTGCTCTGTTTTTTAATGTATTGACCCTACTGTTTGGAGTCGGACCCTGCTTAGTCTTCCAGCCCTTCTCCCAGAGAACTCCCCAATAAACTATATCCCATCTATTAACCTGGCCTGCTGAGCTGTGCAGGGCAGGGCAGGGCTGTGCCCATGCTTCTGCCCACCCTGCCCTGGGGCTGCATGGGGAGGGAGCTCAAGGTGGGGAGCATCCCCGCTATGCCCCAGCCCTCCCTGCCTCAGGGCTGGGAGCTGGCTGGAGGGTGACAGTGACCCTGGGCAGCTCTGCATTGGGGGCACAGCACTGGAGGGGCTGGGGTGCAGCAAGCAGCCCTGCCTGCACCCCAGCAAAAGGGCTGTGCTGCCTTCTGCTGGTGTGCTGTAACCCCATGCTGCTCTCTTCCCCACTACCAGACATCGACGAGTGTGCTCAGGGCTTGCACAACTGCAGCCAGCTCTGCACCAACACCCCTGGGGCACACACCTGCCGCTGCCACCCAGGCTTCCGCCCCCTTGATCCTGCTGCCAGCCGGTGCCTGGGTGAGTACCTACAGGCAGCAACTGGCTGCCCACTCGTGGCACCCAGCCTGGTGCAGCCATGCTGCCCTGGGAGCAGAAATGCTGTTTCCTGGGGTGCCCAGTTGTGCTCACAGCCCTAGACCTGGAGGGTGGGATGGACGGACTGTGGCTGTGCAGGAGTTTGTGGAGTAAGAAGGCATCTGCCACCCAGCAGCCTTGGGACAAGCAGTGGCAGGACCACCTGCCTTCATGTCCCAGGTTAACTCAGCCTACCCCCCCTTATGCACTCTCTCTCCTTTCCCATGCCAGACAATCCCTGTACCCTTGGCACTGCTCTGACCCTCTCTACTTCTTTACCAGACATAGATGAGTGTCAGGCACAGCCTGGCCCCTGCGACCATATCTGCCACAACACCCACGGCTCCTTCCACTGCCACTGTCACCGCGGCTTCTCCCTGGGTGCCGGTGGGCGCTGCCAGCGCAACTAGCCTGCCCTGGCACAGCCAGGTGTCCCCTGCTCACCCCCAGCCCTGTTCCAGTTGCACTCGGTGCCAACTGAATAAACCCTTTCCTGCACTGGCTTCCTCGTGTGTCCCTGTCACTGGGGCCACTTGACTGCTACACAGGTCTGTCCCTGTCCTCCCATAGACTGCCCCATCTGGCCCATCCCTCACCCTCATTTCCCCCACACTCACCATCCTCATGGGGATCTGTACACACCAGTGTGATAAGGGATACCCAGCCTGACTCTGCCCCCACAATGTTGTCCTGCTCCCCCACCACCACCAGCACAAGAAGATGCAGGGCAGGCAGTGGGAGAAGAAGCGTGGGGTTTATTGAGGAAGGTCTCCATGCAGGGGGGCTCCAGCAGGAATGTTGAGGCCAGGGCCACCCCTCACACACGTCATGACCGAGCCAAAGGGAGTCCCACAGGGCAGAGTCCTCCCTCCAGGACCCCAGGAGAGAAATGCTGGCTCGGTTCAGCCCTGCACCCGGACAGGAGTTCTTCTCCTCGAGGTGCTGGATGTCACAGGGACCCTTGTATTTCCCCCTATCTGACCCTGGACCATGAACCTCCACACCTTGCAGCCAAGCCCAGGTGCCCATTGGGGTCCCCACCACAGGCCAGGCTGAGAATTAGGGTGCTGGTGGCAGATGCATGCAGGACACGTGGGCAGGAGAGGGCTCAGCAGTGTGAGAGGAAGGGTCCCGGTGGAGCTGCTCCACCAGGCACTGTCCCTGCATTGAAGCAGGTCATGGGGCAGTGCAGACAGGGAGCTGCAGCCAGGTATGGGCAGGCTCTGCCAGGACTGGGCAGGGAGCCTGCCTCAGCCATGCCACAGCTTAGCCTCAACTATACTGGGCCATGCATGAGCCCGGGGCACATGGCACAGGGGCAGGAGCCTGCCCAGCACTGCACCTCCCTGCCTTGGACACTGGGCTGGGGAGCTTTCTGGGTCCAGCTGGGTTTAGCACCAGGTCAGGGAGGGAGCAGAAGCAAGTGCCCAGTGTCATGGTAGTGCTAAAGGATGCTGCTGGCGAGGATGCTGCTGGCGAGGATGCACTGCCAGATGGGTGAGAGCATGTGGCCAAGGCTGGGGAGCAGCAACAGGCAGCATTTGGGGCAGGGCTGGGGAGAATGTATGGCACCATCATGCAAAAGAAGCGGCACCAAGGCTCTGCAGACACCCTGGGCAGTGGACACGCAGCAGCTGAGCCCACGCCGTAGCACCAAGAGCAGGGTGCCCCAAGGAGGGGGTGAAGCAAGAGCTCAGTGCCTGTGGTCATGGGGCTAAGTGTGCATCCCCCCCTTAGTGCTGCTGAGGGCTTTTCCAATCCCCTGACTCCCCGATCCATGGCAACAGGGCACTGCCACCTGTGGCTGCCCACAGCAGGGCAAGCCCCATTCGCTTGGGGAAGGGACAGCAGCACCAAGAACACAGAGGGCTGCGGGAGCCCCTTGGCAACAGTTTGGCTCAGTGGGAAGCACCTGGGATACCCCAGCACTAGCCCCTGCCCACAGTGGGTCCGATCAGGGCCAGACTCACTGTGGGGGGCATAGAGTAGATGGGGGTGGGCAGCCCCACCGGGTAGCCACAGCCTCCCCCTCCCGCTCTCCCTGGGCTCAGAAGCGGGTGCTCTGGTAGTGCAGCCTGCGGAGCTCGGAGAGGCCACTGTCCCGGCAGTACGAGTCCCTGCAGGGACTCCCTGCCAGTCACCGGCCCCCCGCCCCACCACCCCCACCGCTGCTGCTGCTGGAGCTGCCGCTGCTGGAGCTGCCGCTGCTGCACCGGTCCTCGTAGATGGAGATCTCAATCTGGGCCCCGCTAAGGATCATCAGTGAAATGTGCTAGCCCAATTGCCTGGCAACCACTCCCAATGTCCCTCCACCCCTTGCCATCCCCCCAGCACTCTGCTGCCTGCAGGATACAACCCTCATGCCACGCTCCAGAGGATCAGTGAGCAGCAGCCCCCGTGGCGCATAGATCTTCTCGTTCTGGTCCTGGATATACTTGGAGATCTTCTTCAGTACCTGCCAGCACACAGAGGGACACTCAGGGCCTGCCAGCAGTGCTGCCTGCTCTGGCCTTCAGCCCCCTGCTCCCTGTGCCATCTCTGAGCCGTCCCTGTGCCTACTGCCAGACATACCCATCCCTGAGCCCTCCCCTGCACCTCAGCACCTTCTCATAATGTGTCTCCATGCAAAGGAAGATGAAATAGGCAGTGGCACAGGCCAGGCACCCCTCCAGGTATGAGCTGCCCCCAATCTTCTCTGCCTCAGCGTAGAAGCCGTTTAGGGTTTTCACAGTTTCCTCAAAGAGTTGCCGCTCAATCTAGGACAGAAACCAGAGTGAAGAGGAGTCTGGCCAGAGGCTGACTCCCTGCACTGCCCTGTCCCCATTCCTGAGGGGATCTGGAGAGCACTTAACTCTCTCCTCCCTGCCCCGCTGATGCCTCAGCTCGCTGGCACCTGCCCACATCCCACCCATGCCAAGATCTGCTGAGCCTGCAGGCTTCACCAGAGCCTCCCAGTCCCCAGTAGCATCCAAGTCTTTGCACAGCAGGCAAGGTGACTGTGATTGCATGCACCCAGCAGCACTGGCTGGCCCAGGGCTACACCACATCCCGTGGAGGCCCCACGCCTTTAGACCCCTCTACCCTCTGAGCCCCTATAAGGCACTGCCATAGGGCACCACCCTGTCAATCTGTCAGTCTTCCTACCCGGCTCTCCAGTTCAGGGGGAAACTTTGTCTGGAACTGGCATGTGGTCCCATCACTGTAATCCCGCTGCACGAAGACCTTGGTGGCCAGGGACGCGCTGCGCCGCAGCTCCTGCAGGCTGTGCACCTGGGGGCAGTGGGTGATACGGGGGGCTGCAGCCAGCGGGTGCCAGGCATCCCTGCTGGAGAGCTGGGGGCCTGAGGAGCAGCCATTCCCCCGGTGTCAGGGTCTGTAGGCTCGCACAACCCCCAGGACAGGGAACACCTAGCATGGGCTGTGTCATGCCGTGAGCACAGCTCAGTGTTGGAGATGTGAAGCAAGTGGTGAGGAGAGGATGGTGGCAAGGGGAGGGTGCTGTGGCAGCCCCCTACTCAGAGCGTGGGCAAATGAGTGTGCTCCCTGCCCCAGGCTGCTGTCAGAGCTCACCCATACTGGTTCCTGCATGCACGAGTGTGTGTTCATAGCGGGCCATGGCCCAGGGAGGGGACAGCCCCGTGTCCTAAGCAGTACCCCAGTACACAGCCAACCCAGCAGCTCCTAGGCAGGAAGACGGGAGTGAGCCGAGCAGGAGCAGTGGCCGGGCAGCAAGGCTGCAGCAGTGGCACAGTAGGTGAGCAGGCTGCAGCGGGGAGGCTGCAGAAAAGGGATCAGCAGATTCTGCGATAGATGCTAAGCCCTGATTCCCCATGGGGTGTGAAGGCCCGTGCTAGCCGCCCGAACTCTGGGTTGTGGGGTGGCTGGAGAGGTGGATAGAGGGACCAGGTTGTGCCAAGGGCGGGTCTAAGGCCCCTCCCTGCGCTTGCCCTGGGTGACATGGGGCCACCACCTGCTCTCTGCCCCACAGACCGTCTGTCCCTGGCCCACGTCCCGCCCACGGCATCTGAGACAAGGACCCCAAGTCCCACAACCATCCCTCTCCCCGGGGTGCCCCAACCCAAACGCACGCTGCTCCCTCCACCAAAGGCACTCTGCACCCACCCTGCACCCCCACACTCCTTCAGGCACCCCATATACACACCGGCCTTTTCGTGCACACAGAACCCTCGCAGCCCCCGGTCCCACACTCCCCCCGCACGGACCCCAGCGCCGCGCTGTCCTCCCGCAGCAGCACCGCTCGCGGAGCCCTCGCCCCGCCGCGCCCAGGCAGCCGGTGGCGGCGGGCAGGGCAGGGCGGAGCGGGGGGGCTCCGCCGCAGCGCGGCCCCGGGAGGTGCCGCCGCCGGGGTGCCCCCGCCCTGCCGCCGCGCACCCACCTCCGTGGCCATGGCGCGGCGGGCGCCGGGCCGGGCTGTGCCGTGCCGGGGGGGCCGGACCGGACCGGACCGACGCCGTCACCGGGGCCGTGCGGAGCCTCTCGGGGCCGGGCGCTGTCCGCGGTGCTGCCGAGCCGAGCGGCGGAGGCGGGCCCGGCCGCCCGTGTGCGCAGCCGCCCGGTCCGCCGCGGCCCGCCCCGAGGCACCGGGGATGGGCGCCCGCTGATACCGGCACGGGGCCCCTGCAGGACGCGGGCCCCTTGCTGCGGACGGCGGTACCCGCTGCCCCGCGGCTGGCCCTGGAGAGGGGTTTAGAAGGAGGGCTGCTGCTGGGTGTCCCCGGGGGTCTGGCACGGCGGGTAGCGGAGCCCGGGTGCCTTTGGGATGCAGCTGTAGGTCCCTATGGGGGAACTTGGCTGCCGAGGGGGTGCTGCTGGAGGTAACAGGGGGTCTGTTCCATGAGGCTGGAACGGCAGCGATTTGGGGAGTCGACCGTGCGGCTGGCAGTTCGCCGTGCCAAGGGATCTCGTCTGAAGCTGTTTGTTTGCGAAGGAGTTGCAGCTGGCGCTGCGGTCGCAGGGCGGGCAGACATCAAAGACAGAGCTAACGAATTCCCTATTATCTCTGCCCATTGACAGCTCAATTAGAGCCGGAGAAATGCCAAACGGGGGGAAGAGACGCTCTCCCGAGAGGTGAAGGAGGGGGCGGCTCCTGGCTGGGACCGTGGTGGGGTGAGAGGGATGCAGTAGCTGGGCACAGGGCCCTTGGCAGGCAGGAGAGCAGCCAGCCCATCCCTCAACACCTGGGCAATGCTGGAGGCAGCTCAGGGCCCTGCCAGCGTGTATGCCTTGTCAGGGAACACAGCTAACACAGCTAATAGAGCTAATACAGCTAACACACACAACTAATACAAAGAACACAGTGAACACAGCAAACACAGCATGGCCAGCTGCCTGCAGTGCAGGGGCAGCTCTGTCTGACTTCTAATCCCCCTGCCCTGAGCACCAGTGCAGGCTTTGGGCAGGGCAAATAGAGGCAGAGCCCTGGGGTGGTTGGTGCGCGGTCCCCATTCTCTAGAGCAGGCAGGGTTTGTTACCAAGGGACCAAAGGACACATGCAGTCAGGGACCCCAGTTGGAGGACACATCTCCCCCACAGACACAAAGCTATGGATCCCATAGTTTTTGGGGAAACCTCTTGCTCCCATGGTTCAGAGCAGCCCTGCCAGCCCACAGCCCGGAGCAGTGAGGTACACCCTGCCCTGACAGTGCCACAAAACCAAAGGACCCCCCTCAGGGGGTGGCGTGTGAAGTCTCCCATGCACCCAAACACGTGCATGCACACTGGCACAGGCACTCGTGCATGCAATCAGATGCCCACATTTGCCCACATACCCCATGTACCCCAGGCATGCACTCTGATGCACATGCATTGTGCTTACACTCCCAAGCATGTCCCCAGATGTCCCCAAACCGAGACCCTGCATCCCATCTCCCTCCCATGCTGCATGTCACTGCCACGTCAGTGCTCTCCTGCCCACCTGGCAGGTCCTGCCAGTTGCCATGGCAATGCTGTGCCTGCCAAGAGATGAAGTTTGCTCTCCCGTGCTGCAGTGAGGGGCCAAGAGCAGTCAGGGGGCTTTAGCTGTCCCCGCCACCCCAGGCTCTGCCCATCATCCTCCACCTGTAGTGTTGCCCCAGGGATGTCTCTTCTCTGGCTGCACCAACCCAGGTTCTGGGCTCCGTTTGTCTCATAAGCCATGGACCTGCTGTCTGCAGGACCAGGGCACGTGTCAAGAAGTATCCTTTGTCATCCCTTTGACATCACCCCATTATGGGGAGCCACTCTCTGCCAGCCATACTGCCCAGTGACAGGCAGGACATGGATAGCCCTGACCTGACCCAAAGTGTTCCCCATCACCATACAGCCCCTGGCCCTACCTATGGTATCTGTGGTCCCCAGCACCTCCAGAGCCCACCAGGGTCTACCAGCTCCCCCAGGCAGGGTGCACCATCATGGGCTTTCCAGTTTTAACCAGAGCAGGGATAGACTCTGCTGGTTCCCATGCAGAAGAAATAGGCTGCTGCCATGCCATGCCATGACAGGTCCTGCCATGCTGTGCCATGGCTTCCAGCAAGGCAGGTCAGAGGTCGAGGGGGCTGGCATAGCCAAAGGGATCCCAGGCAGTAGGATCAGGGACAGTAAGAGCTCAGGGCAGCCCTAAAATGCTGCATGGCCTTGTTGCTCCCTCAACCCCAGCACTGTGAGGGGGGCTGGCAAGGTGCCTGCAGCAACAGGGCTCTGTCCCTTTTGCTCCATCTGCTCAGCCCTGAGGGACTATTTTTAGGCTGCCCTGAAGCAGGGATAGGCATGGCTGCTGCCAGAGCTGCCTTTACTCCCCTACTTGAGTTTTCCTCTGTGCCTGGAGTGAAGTGACTCTGACCTGTCTTGCACAGCCCCCTTGGATCGGATGGATCTCCTTTTGCCTCTGGCTCTGGCTAGCTGCCCACAGGCCCTGCCCCTGGCCCTATGGGACAGACACAGGACATACTTAGGATCCCTATGGCCAACCCTGCACAGACAGTATGCCTGTGCCCATCACATCACAGCAGCCATGCCCCAGCAGTGCCCCTGGTTCAGCCCCTGCACTTGGCTCCCAGACCAGGAACAGGGCGTGTCCCTAGTGTGTCTCCGGGTGCACACTTCTGCACCCCATCCCAGCATCTCAACCCTCCCTGTAGCCCCAGCAGGGTGGCTGGAGGCCATGGAGGACAGCTGGAGTCCTGCAACCAGTCCAGGACCAACCCCTGGGGCCCCATCCTGCACCCACTGCCTGCTGAGCCCCCTCTCCTGCCTGTCGGGGCTGTCAGCGGCTCCAGCTCTGCTTCAAAGAGGCCACAACAGGGCCAGGTTCTGGCAGCTGCTTCCCACGGCACTGGGAGGGCTTTCATTATTGGTGGGGGAGCATGAGATCACCATCCAGTGAGGACAACAGTGACATTTGGGAGGCGCAAAGACAGCGGGGCCATATGATTAGCTGATAACCTTTCCTGAGAGATGCCAGGTGTGTGCACCTGTGGGGGGGGAGGGGGACACATCCCCCACACTGTGAGCCTCTGGAAAACAGCTCCAAGTGCCTCAGCCTGCCCCTTCAAGCAGGACGTGGAGACTGCCCCAAACTGGGGCCACTGACCCTACCGACTGAGCACTCCAAGAGTGGGCCCCCCTCTGTGGCATCTGCAAGCACTGCCGTGTTCAGCTGTGTCCATACCAAGGGATGGTTCTGGTGCACCCCACTGCGCTGGGAGCCCCTGCAGAGGGTGGGGACAGCCCCCTAGCACATCCCGAGGAAGTCCACAGGTGCTAGGGGACTCAGCATCCTCCTGCAAACAGGCAAGCAGAGGAGGATGTGGTTTTGGAGCCAGTTGCCAAGGTCTGGCTTTAGCAAAGGTGCCAGCTGAGAGCTGAGGCTGTGCAAGGATTGCTACCACACAGGGATGGGGTTGTGCTGGGAGCAGACATGGGTGGCTTTTCCCACCTCCCCAGTGGGGTGGGGAGGGGCAAACAGCACTACATAGGAGGTCCCTATATGTAGTGCCACGCCATGAAGCAAAGGGACTCTTCCTCAGAGGGTCCCCCACATGGGACATGCCCCCTCCCTGCCCTGCTGAGCAGGACCAGGTGCTGGGGGCCAGGACCGGGGTGTCCGGCAGTGAACAGGGAGGGTCTGTTTGCAAGCTGGCAGGAACTGGGTAGGGCCAGGAGGTGCTGGGTCGGGGTTGGGAGAGCGCGTCAGCTCTGCAGCTGGGCTGGGAACGCTGCCAGCACATTCCTGGGGCTGCCGGGCAAGTGAGCGTGTGTGGGCGCAGGGCAAGTGCACAGCCACCACTGACCCTGTGCGCTGCCCACCCTGATGGTTCCACATTGCCCCCGGGCTACCTCGACCCCACAGTGTCCCCAGTCATGCCCCAAACTCCCACAAGTACTCCCAGGCAGGGCCACCCCCATGGAGCTGTGCTGCCAGCCCAGCATTGCCCCCCAGCCAGGGTGCTCTCTCCTTTCAGCTGCTGGACACCCTCGGACACGTGTCCCTGCACAGACAGCCCCAGCATGCTGTCCCTTCCTGAGGGCCCCTGAATGGTCAGCCCCAGTGTGCTGTCCTCTCCCAGACATCCCTGCTCCACAGCGAGTGCATCCCATGTCCAGCACTGACATAGCCCAAGAATCAGGATGGGAAGGACAGTAGGATGGGAGAGAACCCATCCAGCCCAGTCAGCCCACCCAGGCCCAGGGGATGCATCTTTACTCACAGAAACAAGGTCAGTAGCACCCAAAGCTGAGGCAGGAGAGTGGGACACAAGGATGGAAAGAGGAGGCCAAGGTCCTTCTCAGCATCTCATTTCCCAGGAGCCTCCTGCTCCCCCAGCTCAGATCTCCTCTGTGCTACAACCAGGCACAGGTCCTCCATAGGGAGGGCCTGGAGTGTCAATGGGGTACCCTCAGGGGGATGTCCTCTTACCCTGCCACTCTGGCTCACCGTCCCTGAGGTCCCCACTGCAGAGGGGGCAGCTCCCATGGCCCCGCTTCTGTCCTCGCTGCTGTGACAGGCGACACAGGCAGTGACACAAGTGCTGGCACAGCCAGCTCCCTGGAGTGACAGGCACAAGTGTCAGTCTCCCAGACAGTTGCATGGCTGCAGGACAGGAATGTGGACACTAGATCAACCTGTGCAGACAGCATGCAGGGAAGGGTGCCAGATCCACCTACCTTGGGTCCATACCCTTCTCTGGGGTACACCCCAGATCTACCTCCCCTGAGGCATCCTGGGTAGAAAAGGGTTAAGGAAGCAATGGGAGTGCATCAGGGAACCCCTAGAGCAGAGGCAAAGTCTCAGCTCAGAGACAAGGCTGCCAGGACACCTAGAAGGGTGGGAGCAGGAATGGACATCCCTATCCTGAAGCCAGCCGCGCTCCCCCCAGCATGGCCATGTTGACAGGAGGTGATTCAGTGGCTCTAATGAAGGCATCGTGACAGACAGAGGGACTGGGCCAGCTGGCAGAGAGCCCCTCACTCAACCCCAGCCTCACCAGCCCCCTCACCTTCATCATGGCACACCCATGGCTGTGCTCAGCATCCCACACACTGGCAACTCCACCCTGCACACACAGCCTTGCTCTGCCTCCACCTCCCAACTCCTGCTCCCAGGCCTTGCCAGCCCCTTCCCAGCCTAGCTCTCATGGCAGTTACACCCTGCCCAAGCCCATCCATCACGGATTAGTTATTTTCTATCAGCATTTATCTCCAGACAATCTCACTCCTGCCGTGACAGCCTGATCCCTCCAGCACCCTCCCTCCTGCTACCAGGCAGCCCTGATAAAGGGCCGCTCTATCTTATCGGGCTCCCCGGCAGTTACACATTAATGGTGCCATCTCCGGGCTCGGCTGGGGTGAGATGAACCCAGCCCACCCTCGGGCTGGCAGTAAGCATCAGTGATGCAGTGATGGCTGCTGAGCCCAGCACAGAGGGCATGGGCAGGGCAGGCAGGCTGCAGGCAAGGGTAGGTCGTGTGGCTGAGGTTCCCAGCATGGCCTCAAAGCAGATGGACCCCACCAGGACTGGGGGAACGATCCCTGTCCCCAGCCCAGGGCAAAGAGCAGCTGCTATCACTGCGTGAACTGGACTGTTTGCTCTATCACCATTAACAGAGCTGCCTTATCCGGCAGGCAGGGGCCAGCGACAGCCCAAAGCCTGTTGGCCAGGCTGGAGCATCGATCACGGGAAAGGGAGGGGATGTCCCAGATAACCCCTGCAGACAAATGGGCTTCTAATGGGGTCTTAAGTCTTGCACCCCCTGGCCCAGCCCATCTCCAA